GGGTATTTATGGAAAGAATCATTGATGTTGATATGTCAAATGAAACAGTGGAAAGTGATGAAGCGATTTATTAACACAGAATAACGTTTATTTTGGACATTTCATGGACTTTAAGCCAGTACATGTCCAGGCCCATCTGAAGTTTGTTCGAGAGCATTTAGATGATCCAGAAGAGGATTGGGAGAATGTCATATGGTCAGATGAAACCAAAATAGAACTTTTGGTGAAAACTCAACTAGACGTGTTTGGAGGAGAAAGAATGCTGAGTTGCATCCAAAGAACACCATACCTACTGTGAAACATGGGGGTGGAAACATCATGCTTTGGGGTTGTTTTTCTGCAAAGGGACCAGGACGACTGATCCGTGTAAAGGAAAGAATGAATGGAGCCATGTATCGTGAGATTTTGAGTGACAACCTCCTTCCATCAGCAAGGGCATTGAAGATGAAACGTGGCTGGGTCTTTCAGCATGACAATGATCCCAAACACACCGCCCGGGCAACGAAGGAGTGGCTTCGTAAGAAGCATTTCAAGGTCCTGGAGTGGCCTAGCCAGTCTCCAGATCTCAACCCCATAGAAAATCTTTGGAGGGAGTTTAAAGTCCGTGTTGCCCAGCGACAGCCCCAAAACAGGAGATCTGCATGGAGGAATGGGCCAAAATACCAGCAACAGTGTGTGAAAACCTTGTGAAGACTTACAGAAAACGTTTGACCTCTGTCATTGCCAACAAAGGGTATATAACAAAGTATTGAGATTAACTTTTGTTATTGACCAAATACTTATTTTCCAGCGTAATTTGCAAATAAATTCTTTAAAGATCAGACAAAGTGATTTTCTGGATTTTTTTTTTTTTTTCTCTCATTTTGTCTCTCATAGTTGAGGTATACCTAGGATGAAAATTAGAGGCCTCTCTCATCTTTGTAAGTGGGAGAACTTGCACAATTGGTGGCTGACTAAATACTTTTTTGCCCCACTGTGTATATATATATATATATAAACACACATACAAATGTCGCGCAACAGGCATAGGTGTGACACATTATTTATTATTCACCATTCTTGGAAAGGCGACCCGTTTGCTGTCATTGTGTCATTTGCTGTTCTCACCGTTTTTCTCTTTCTGCTTTTTTTTTGGGGGGGGGGGTTCTAATTATTCCAAGTAATATTTACTTTGTCTGATCTAATTATTGATCAGTAAGAATGGCTTTGGTGGCTACGCTTACATCATCCATGTTATAAAAGAGTAACTTCATATCATACCATCCTTCATTAACAGCTCTCCGAGTCAATTCAAACAAAAAAAGGAAATGGCATCATGAGATGGTACTGGTGAGACAGTCAGACTGTCAGGATTCTTATGTTTTGTCACATTTGTAGTTTTGTATGTCTGGTTATGGGTGTTTTCCTCCGTGTATATTGTCTGGTCCTTCTTCCTGTGTTTTTCCCCTGTCGTTAGTTTCCCTGGTGTGTCTGATTGTGTTCACCTGTCGCCCTTGTGTTTCTCCTCCCCTGCCCGGCTGTTTCTCGTCTTGTGATTACCCCTCTCTGTATTTAGTCTTGTCTCTTCCTGTGTTCAGTGTTGGTTCATTATTTTGTCGTTCCTGTTCCCCTTCATGTTGGTCTCTGTCACCTTTATTGGATGCTACCTGGTACCTGTTTTAGGATTCTTGTTTTTGTTCAGCTTTTCTTGAATAAAGCTCGCCTTTTGTTTCCTTTTGAAACCAGCTTCCTCCTCATTCTGCATTTGGGTCCTATTTTTCCCCAACCCTGACACAGACAGTGGATCACCAGTTCCAAGCACCAGCTGCTGTTAGGGAACAGTAGATTAGCTAGTTGGGGAATTTATAAATACGTTTTTTTTTTATTAGTAATTTAAAAAAAAGGTGTGGATTTTTCTGAAAAGATAGTCATTTTATCATTTCAGTCATCTTTTGATTCACTCTGGCTGTGTGTGAAATGTCCCTCAGGTCAGAACTTTGTGGTGGAGGAGGACATCCGAGAGTTTTCTAAGATCAAGGTGGACAAACGCTTCCAGGGGATTCTGAACATGCTGCGGCACTGCCAGCGCCTCCGGGAGATGCGGGGGGGCGGCCTCACCCGCTACATGCTGCTATGATTGAGTCACACTTTGACTTTGCATTTAATATACAGGAATGTGTGCATGTATGTATGTTGTTGTGGTATAAGTGAAAATATCCTTTTTTTTCCTTCTATGTTTGTTTAATATCGTTACATGTGTAAACAACAGTTTGTATTTTCAGGCAACCAGAATACAAATCTGAAGAAGGAACATTTCTTTGTGGTGAATACTTTTGATCTTTATCAGTATCTGATCATTCTGTAGAAATAATGAGAAATGTAGCATAATCAGAAACAGCGTGAATGAAGATAGATTTTCAATTTCAAAATTGAAAAGTCCTGACAGAATTAATGTATACAAAATATATTTTATTAGTTCTATAACATAAGGGTTGACCTCAAGCCGTTTGTGGAAACAGATTGCTTCAATACGTTTAAGTTTACTGAATCAATTTGACTTTGGGAAAACTCAAGTATTTATTGTTATGTTTACTTTGGTGCAATTAACTTTTTTAACCAATCACAAAGTTAATTGAACTTACATCTTTTAATTATTTTAACTTAAATGTTTAATTTCTCCAAGCTTATTAAAAATGTATTAATGGAATTTACTGAATAAAGTAAGACCAATTTAAATATATCTACTTATGGCTTTTTTTCAGATTGGGAAACAGATTGCCTTAAACATTTTAAGTTGCAATAACACCATGTAAATACACATTTCTGACAAAGCTCAAACTATTTCTTTATATTTACACTTTCTAAATTATTTGTATTTATTAAGTCCTGTGCTCATATCAACCATATGAACCCGTTTTTTTTTCCTGTCATTATTCTCCTGATCTGCTTCTTCTTGTTAACAGAGCCTGAGAGTCCATTGTATTTGTTGCTTTTCAAAATTAGATCTAGTATAATAAAAAATAAAAAACATTAATTGAGGAATTAAATCAAATTAGATGAGGAAACATAATCATAGCCAAATATCAGAAACACAGCCTGATACATAACCATACTATAAGTTCAGTTATAACTAGAACTTGTAAACTCTAACTCCTTTAGTGGTTTAAAAACAGTTTCTTACAACACACCAAAATGGTTAGGCTGACTCACAGCTGTTATGTAAAGATGATCAAGATCCCTCCGCTTCGCACCGGGCACCCTGATCAGACCGTCGGGTGTTCTTTTCCCCATAATGACCGCCTTGCTGCATATTATCCCGCTTATTACACGGCCAGATACTAAACAAACTAACGACTCGACTCCCAATATTAATTGAAACGATTTTATTGACTTAAAAATTATCGTATTTCTTCCACTAAGAAAAAAACACTAACAACTTTACGGCAGCACTGTCCAAATCTGTTCTCAGTTTCTGATCCACTAACAAGTCCTTAAACACTGCAGAGCCCATACCGTGTTTCTGTTAGTGTTTACATCCTGTCTGCCTTCTGCTGGTTATACATCCATGGATTTATCTGACGCCCAGCGCTCCGTCTTTTAACCTATTTCTCTCTCTTGATCCTCCTTAGCAACGGTCATTATAGTCCTTGACAGTGGTCTGTACTACTGTATTAACAACCTGTCACATATTCTGAATTGACCAATCAGAATCGAGTAAATAACTGAGTCGTGTAATAAAAGCTATTAAACTGGAATCTAGAAAAAAGAATCCCTTAAAACTGTCATTCCAAAATCCATGAAAGTTCTAGAATCCTCACGCATCATAATGGCATTGATGGACATTATGATGTCATGCAGTATAGGAATGGCTTTCATGTTCAACCTGACTGTGTATTCTCTAAGTTATCAACTAAAGAGCATTAGCAGCTAATAACTAAATTAGCTGTTTAATACTTCAGTTTCTTACTGACTCAGAGCTGTTATAGCTGACAGGTGCAGCGCCTGAAAGCAGAGATGAGTCAGGAACAGCAGCCCTGTGTTAGAAGGGTTGTTCAGGTTGAGAAAGACGTCCTCCAACGTGACAACTTGGAAAGTGAAGCTGAGAGCCTGTTACTCCAGGAATTTAAAAGAAAGTGTGCAGCAGAGAAAAAGCAGAAAGAGAGCTTGATTCGGGAAACTGCTGTTCTACATCAGAAAATACAGGAACATGAGGAGGTTTCACTGGAACTTATGGATTCTTACGAGCAAAATATGAAGCTTCAAAAGAGGGTCTATGAAGCTGAAGTTCAAAATGTTGGAAAAGAACTCAAAACCACAACTGAAAAGTACAACGCAGTGAGGGCTGAAATGGAGGCCACGAGGCACAAATATGCAACCATCAGAGAGGGAAAATATCTGCCAGAGCTAGATCAGCTGAGGGCCTCAGCGATGGAGGGGAAAATTCTTATTGACAAAGAGCTGATCCCGTCACTGAAAAACGAGTTGGACAGAACGCTCGACCTGAGACAGCAGATCCATGACCTTGAAACTCACTCGCTGGACCTTCGACTTCAGGTCTCAGTGGAGAAGTGTGAGACTGTGATGGTTCAGAAAGAGGTGGTGTGCAGGGAAAAGGCAGCTCTGCTTAGGCAGGTTATTGAGCTGCGCCAGGGGGAGGAAGAGCTTCGCGATGAGGTGGACACGCTCCAAGTTCTTCTAAAGGTGAAGACAAGGGAGAACCAGGCCCTCCAATCCGAAATCAAGTCCTTGAAACACAAAAAGAAACTCGCCTGCACGATTAACGTAGAGCAGCTTGAGGAGAACCAAGAGGATCCTTCCCTTCATGGATGGATATTCTGGCTGACTAATCAGGTGTGCACACCAGTTAACATAGCTTGTGCTGCCACGATAGGATGGGTGGCCTTTAAAGGCCATTAGCGCTGCAGGCTCACAGGGAGCAGCTCTAGGTTTAAACCCAGACCTGAAACCGCTTCCTGTAGTCTGCTTATGTGGGTTTACACCAGGAGCTCTGGTTTCCCCGCACATCTGAATTACAAACACCTGTAGATCAGATGTATATTAAAAAAACATTTACATTTAGAAGCAGGCACAGAACTCAATAAACTAAAATAGAAAGCAAATGCCACAAAGCTAGGAGATTGGGGTTACCGGAACACGACCGAGTCTATAGGACTAGGTTTCAAGTCAGACTGATTCCTGTAGTCGGCTAATTGGGGTTTACACCAGGAACTCTGGTTTCCCCGCACATTGAACTACAAACACCTGTAGTTCAGATTTATAAAATGTATTAATGGAATTTACTTGTAACAGAGGTGGTCTCGGGTGCCATAGAGCCCGGTCTCCATTATGTTTTATATAGCCTAGCTTCAGTATTGGTGAAGCATTCACTTCGTACCACACACGGTCATTTATAAGTTCACAGTTACATTCATAGAGCTAGTGTGGTATTGAAAACCCTTCTATTGAATTGTTTACGTCAGCAGGAAACACATGTTCATCCTTGATGTCAGGGGGCTGGATTGGCCGCGCCGACCTGTAGATAAACATATGGCGATTAGCGCCTCCAGCAATTCGCTAGTTGTTCAACTTACAACTTAGAAAATATATTAATGGAATTTACTAAATAAAGTGAGACCAATCTAAATGTATCTACTTATGACTACTTATTTCATATTAGGAATATGTGTTTTAAGCACTCTTAGGCCTATGTGTTTGGTGTTCATTCTGCATATGTAGATTTGGGCTAGGATGCAGTAAAATTAAAGATCAGACTTTTAAAGTCCTGTGCTCATATAAAGTATGAACCCGTTTTTTTACTGTCATTATTGTTGGAAACTTGTCACGTATCCTGATCGGTTTCTTCTGTTTGTTAACAGAGCCTGTGAGTCCATTATTTTGGTTGCTTTTAAATTATACATCTAGTATAAAAAAAATTAGAACAAATTAATTGAAAAAGCATAATCATTGTCAAACACTGGAAATATCATGAACATAGCCTGATACATAACCATGAATTCAGACTTTATTACATTATTTGGACATGCAACACAAGCTATCCATGCAACAAAGAAGTGCCCTTTGTTTCTGGTGTAGGCCTAATGTGATCTTAGTTTATTCTTAATAAATATAACATAATATGACATAAACATTTGTGTTCCCACAGTGGGAAATGCTCTCATTTCAGCTTCACGTGCGAGAAATGTCTTAATCAGAAATGTCAAAAGTCAAATCTAACATTCAATTAAGTATTTGGTTTTGTTTACTGTTGGGCTGTAAAGAGCTGTGTTTAAACCTGAAAAAGTGAACTTTGAAAGGTGCCTTACCTAGTTTTAATAATAAAAAAAGGCTCTGTTAATAACTTGTGTATAAATGTGTTCCTACGAGTTCTTGTATGTCTCTACCTCACTTATCATTTTCTGTCGTAAGATTCTTTAAAATAAGAAATTATACTAGAGACAAAAAAATATCACTTTTTATTGGAATTAACTATACTTTCTGGGCTACTACACTTGATACCCATTACCCACTAAACCCAAAACTTATTTTGGAATACTGAGTGTAGCTGCTTGAAGAAGAAAAAAATACAGGGAAAAGGCTTAAACTGGACATCTCAGCTGTAAATGACTGGAAGGATATTATACATCAAATCTTCCTGGTGAAAGAATCCCTTTCTCTTCAAAGCATCATAAGAATAATTTGAGGAATCTTGGAAAAAGTGGAAGCTAAATATTTCCCAGAGATGGACTTCCTTAGCTGTATTTTCTTTCTCAAAACAGAAAACACCCCTTGTTTTTCTTAGCATTTATTTATTTCAAATGTTTTCAATGAATCAAAAATGTAATCAAAGCTTGTTTATATAGCCCAATACCACACATTTTGTCTCAGTGGACAGTTTGTACAGAATATGAATTCTGAAGTTAATGGGGGGAAATGGAAGAAACCTCTGGGAGAGCAACAGAGGAGGATCCCTCTCCAGGACGGACAGAGATGCAATAGATGTTTTGTGTAAATTAACAAGATAATACATTTACAACATACTGTAGTGTAGGTAGTCCAAATGTTTGGAAATGCATGTGTCTATAAATAAGAAGAGGAATCCAGGTTGATATAAACAATCCTGTCAAAGAAGTAGTAAGGTGAGCATCAGGCAGGATCACAGCTTTTTTTAAAGTGAATTTTAATGTTCTTTGTTTGTGCTTTGGTTATAGTAATAGAATGGGGGGGTTGTCCGGTGCCCTGCTCAAGGGCACCACTATGTGGTGTTATGTGTTATCATACTGAAACAATCTAAAACGATTCAGCTGTGTATAGATCAAACTGATGTGGATTGTATAAAAAAGTGTTATATAAATGCTATCTGACTGCAAATAAAGACAAGAAAATAAAACTGAATTCATACTACAAAAAAAAGTTTAAAACCTGCACTTTTCCTGATGTAGGCCTACCACAAGAGGTCCTCATTTGCTATAAAAACAGCTAGAGTAGCGTGGTACAAATTATAGGATGTATTCGATTTAAAAAGAGTATCTTCAGTAAACTCTCAGTATTTCCCCTTCAAAATGTTCTTATAAAACGTAAAACATCGTTAAGTGTTCGCAAAAAGGGGAAAATTCAACTCTTGCTACTTTTCATTATGCGCAACAAGTGTGCCCCCAGCCGTGTTTTATTTTGAAATGGCCCCCGGATGTACTAGCTGTGGCGCAGGCAGGCACTTGACATCGAGGCTGCTCTTGTCTCAGC